GCCGGGCCGGGGGACCGGTGGGACCAGCGGATCTCGGGGAGACGGAGCCTCGAGGGCCACAACCTGCCTGGGCTCCGTCCGAGATGAGGACCGGGTTCAGAATCGCTGCCGCGTCCCTCAGGGACTCCGACTGCTTGCGCCTATGAGGGCGCGTGCTGGGCGTTAGGCAGCGAACGGCAGTTGGCAGGGCGCATGCGCGCAGGGAACGCGGCTCAGGCGGCTCCTGCAGGGGCCTAACGCTCTGTGGTCTCCCTGCTTCATCCCGAGGGGACTATGGGGAGGGAGGCGACTTGGCGAATATTCCCTCCCCGCAGGTCCTGGGCCCTGCAACCCACTTTGGAAGGTGCTCCTGGTGTGTTCTGAGCCAGCACCACGTGGCCTGGCCAGAGGGGTTCTTCAGGCCTGCAGTGTCCACAGCCTCCGGTGCCTGGGCTTCTCTACATCCCTCCCTCTCCCCAGGACACTCTTTGGAACCTCAAAGCAGCACAGGAACTGTGTGAGGCTCCCAGGACGTGCCTGCATTCCAGGCGTATGCAGGTGTAAAATTGCACACCTCCCTGGGAGCTTCTCTTACTCGGTGTTTCATAAGACCCTGGCCTGACAAATCCCAATGTCTTCCATCTGTCCAGATCAGGGCACCATGTGCTTTCTGATCACCCTGTGTCACCCTTTGGTGATCTTTCAAGGACCTTTCCTTGTGTCACTGAATCTAGGGGTGGAGACCAAACATGTTGGCTAAATGAATGAATGAATTTGATCTCTCTAGATACTTTTGATTTTTCTCTGATGAACTCATCCTTGAATGTTCAATTATGTCTTCCAAACTTTTGAAGTTATGAAAAACTTTCATGGAAAGCATGAAAGCATTTGGGAAGATCAATAGCACTGGCCTGGCTTGTGAAGATGGTGTAGGACATTCACATGGTAACGGTCCCTTGCGATTGTCACGATATGTAGGAGGTCTGCATTTTTGTCCTGGTTCTGCTACTAAGTCACTTCTGAGTGTGGCCAGTTGGCTGTACTTCTCAGTCCTCAGTCTCCTACCGCATAAGGTGAGGTTAAACCAGTGTTCTCAGGGAATCATTTATTTAGGGTAAAAATCTCAGTTATTTACATTGATTCAAAGATGCCAAGGAACAGTGTCAGTATTTAAGCAATGTTTCAGTCCCACCCCCCCCACAAAGAAAAGAGCTACATCGATTTTTCACAGTTCAGTTTGCATGTAATTATTTTGATTGAGTTTTTACATAGTTTTAAAAATTACAAAACATAAAATAGCAAAGTTTCCCCAAGGCAGTTCAATGCAGAACACTTGGGAATTTAAGCACACGTTACACATATTAAATATATTTGACAATTCAGTTACACACTGACCAACACAACGGGAAAGTAGACAACTGAAAGCTTTGAAGAGATTAAACTGCACATTCTGCAACTAGAAAAATGATAAGCTACTGCATATTAGCATAGCACATTAGAATATATATTAAAGTGTACTCCCCCTTGGAAAATGGCAGTGATTTATACGTTGATACTGTCACGGAGCACTTGTGGATGCTTTTCTGTCCAGCATCAACCCTGTCCACTGTGAATTCTATTTTGTTAGTGCTGCAGTCTTTCTTGGGCCTGCTCTTCTCAGTTTTCCTATTTCAAGTGTCAGCCTCTACCCTCTGATGCCATCCATCCAGAATGCCCACTGTTAAGGTTGTCGGGGGGTGGCAAGTGAATCTGGAAAAATCTCTTACCTATCTAAAATAAGAAAAGGGACTTAATTTGCAGGTTGGAGACGTAACTGTGTACCAGACAGTTTACCACATTTTAGGTAACCTGCTTTATCAGACTGAGATTGTGTAAGGACCCACAGAGTTAGCTGGCTTCCTTCTTGCTTTGGAAGGCTGATGGCAACAAAAGGGCCTTTGTAAGGGGACCTGTACAGCTGAGCTTTAATCACAAGTTGCAGTTCTTATGGATCAGGAGTCCTGAGAGCTGGTGACAAATCCAAGTTGTAAGGGAAACTTTCATAAGATTCCCAAGTCTGTGGCTGTCAGGGAGTTACTGTTAGTATGTGTGTGGACCGATTAACACAACAGTAATGATGGCAAGAACGGCAACCTTGTCTGTCCTTGAAGTGCAAACGTCATCTCCACTTGACTTCATTCATCCTCCTCACAAGGAAAAGGCACATTGACTTTCTTCAACACTAGGGAAACTCAAAATGTTTATTCATGAGCTTTCAGTTGCCTCCCTTTAGTTTACACCACGTACACTTTAACAACAGAACAGTGAGTTTTCGAACTTCAACTATAAATACTGACAAAGCAGGCTGAGTGTATTTCTGAAGCACTGGTATATATCTGTATAGATAGACAGACAGACAATTCCTCCACATCCCCGATGTCTGCTCATATCTGAGAGGCTGGCGTCTGCCTGCTACTCCTGCCCCAGGTGAGCTCTTCATACACAGTGGTGTCAGAGGCCAGGCCTTCTCGTCAAGGTGAAAGTGGCCAGGGTTCCCTTCTTCTTTACAAACACTGTGCTGGGTCTCCCTGGGTGGCCTTGTGAGATCGGACCAGATCACTTTTTAGACAAAAAGAGTCAAAGAGAATTTGGGTTTCCAGAGGGGAGAAAAAAGTGCTGCCCCCTATAAGTCACAGTCTCAGTGGAGTAGGGTCTTCCTAAAGAGGTAGAAATAATAGGGGGTGTGTGTTGCAGATGCCCACATTCAATAGTACTGAGCACTGTATCTGTAAGGGCTTAAAATGGGCTGACTCCACTCAGCTCTCTGATTTTTTCATAAGTAAGCCAGAACACCAATGACCAAGGGGTCTGAAAGATTAACGAAAGAAGTTAGTGCATATTTCAAAGCAATGATCAATCATCTACATATATGCATTTACATCTCTGAGTGACAAAGTCATTTTGAATCCACTGAAGACAAATATTTTGTCTTTTACCTTTGTACTTTATAATTCACAAAGTGTCTTAATGTCTCATTTATCATGGATTTCTCTAAAAGTCAGTATACAAAAGAAAGGAGAAGAATAGCCCTACTTTACCGATGGGCTCTGAGGCTGTCAAATGCCTGCTGACTGGGGTAGAGCTGGACCAGAGGCTCCTGTTCTCCATCCCAGAGTGGTTTTTCCGGGAGCATCATGGCTACAGGGCTGGGACAGGACACCTGACTTCTAAGCTCCTCCCCACAGTTCTTGTACATACAGTGTGACCACCTGACACATCACACATCTTTAATGAGCGTTAGATCATAACACCAAAACCTGATGTCTCACATCTTCGAGGCTTGACTCTAGGTTGAATGAAGAAGACACAGCTATCTCTAGAATTATAAACTGGCATGGGTTGGAAGAAGATATAAATGGTAAGGGGCAAACATCAGAATGAAGAAAGGGATCTAATTGGATTTAATGTCTGATCAAGATGTACTGGAGAAGAACTCTATCCTGCTCAAGAAATAAGCTTAAGCAATTAGAGTGCAAAATGTATCTGGGTAGAGAGTTTGTAATGCAATATGTTATGTGTGCAAATAATGAGCATTTTATGTTATGTTGATAAGCTGGGAATTTATGAAATAGCATATTTAGAAGAACATATCTTTGTGAGGCATCAGTAAAATAAGGAATATAAGGTTGTGAAGATACTATGTTTTTATGAAAATAAAAATGAAGTGAGCCAATGACATCACTGCAGTCAGGTGCAATGACCACTAATTGCTGTGGTAATCAGAGTTCTGCCAGTGACAACATGGTTAGCAACAAAGCCAGAGGGGCAAATGAAATAAGCCCTCAGCAGCAGCTGAGCAGCACAAGCTCTGGCTACATCCAGTAGTAGGGAAGGTGAGGGAGTCTGGTTGGGTTTCAGGAGGGTTCAGGGGGACCATGTGGCTGAAGAATGTGGGTAGGCAGTGACTGGCGTCTTCCAGCCCCTCCTGGCAGTGGGGTGTGCACTGCACTTATTCAGTGGTTTCCTCGCTGGCACAGCTCAGATGCTACCTGTGACAGAAGTGCAGTGGAACCTGTGCTGCTTCCTCAGGTCTGGCTTTTACCGTAACGGCTGGGAAACAGCACAGTCCTTTCCCATGCTTGTTCCTGTGGAGCTGGGCCCGTAAGACCTCTCTTGGGTTGATATTCTTTTACCTAAGTTTACAAATAAGCTTTCTCTATGGCAACTCCGTGTTGGCACACAGCCTACTAACACATGACTCTGGGATGGAGGGTGCCGTCCTGGGGCCACCAGCACGTAGCCACATGTGCGGTGTGAGCACACAGGAGGTTCTAGCCTAGCCTTCTGTGAATTCAGCTGGCAAATCTACATTTTCAAGCCCCGTGAACTTGGAGAAGCTCATGATCAAGATTCTGAGCTCTGAGTCACCAAGTCACCACTGTGGCAAACCACACGGCTGTGGTTCCGGTGACCTGGGCCAGTCAGCAGCCTTTCCTTGATAACACCCCTCCTCACTACACCTTAGCCTTTCCTTGATAACACCCCTCCTCACTACACCTTTACTCTTTGTTCAGCATTTCCGTAAGCCAGCTACACATCTTGAGCCCCTCAGCATCTACTACTGCAGCACAAAGGGAAGGGTTGGAGCTGGGCAGACCTACAGTCAGTTCTCAGCTCTGCCACACATGAGCCCTCTGATGTGGTATTTGTTTTTGTGTTAATAAACCTATCCGTGCTAGGGGTCACTTATGCCCAAAGCTTCAGTGACCACTATCTGTGGGGCAGTGTCCAGTCTGAATCTCCATCCCCGTTTCTCCACTGTGACCCAGTCCTGTATAATAAGCTGGTCACCCAGGACCTGGACGTTCTGCAGGTATCCAAACACCCCGCAGCTAAACTACAAACCCTCTTTCCTTCCAAAGATCCTCATTTGGGCAAACTGCTCAGGACCTGACCCTTCGTTCATCCTCTCCATTTAGTCCCTCGTCCTCAGTCATGTCTCTACCTCCTTCCTAAATCCCTTTGCAACCATCTTCTTCTATTCCCAACATCAAGCTCTCAATTTATCTTCCATTTATCACTGTCCCTATCCTTTTTCAAACCCAGGGAAGCCCAAGAAATCTTTCTGAGAATGCAGATTTCTCTGGCCACACCCATGGCTGTATCTCCCAGGCTCGCTCCTTCCAGCTTTCTACCCTGCTCTAGCTTCCCCCTTGCCCTGCTGCTCTCCTGCAGCCTGGGTACCCTGGCCTGCTGGGCATCCTGCAGCTCATGTCCTCTTCAAGTTCTGTGTCCACTCTCACTGTCGCTCTCTGTGTCCCTCTGATGTGGCTAAGTCTTACTCTTCCTTCAAATCTCAGTTCAGACCTCACCAGGGAGGGCTCCTTGATCACCCCTGTGCAGACGGCATGGGCAGCACCTAGCACTCTTCCATAACTATACCACCTACAGCGTCTTACTCCTGGCCAAGTCCTTGCACAGAGGAAGAGCTCCATTAAATATATATAAAATACCAGCTATTATTATATTTTATTCATTTTCAATTGTTGAATTTCTAAGCTAGAACGTCTATTCTTTCAAATATTTCCTAACTTACAAAATGTTTGAGTACTTTATCTTTATTATATCTGATGTATTACTTAAGCACACATAATTCTACATCTTAGTTCACAATAGTAAAAGATAAACGTGTAAACCAAATAAGAGTGATACAAATTTTCTTGCAAAGTGGAGTGATAATAAGTATTAACAGGTAATGTAATACTTACCATCAAAGTAACAAATCGTTTGAAATAGTGACATTTTTCCAGGAATCTGTGCACCTGTCTCAATCAACTGCATTTTAGCTACATAGACTTCTGAAGCTTTTATAGCACCAGAGACCCATCCACTGGCTACTCATACCCTATTTATTAATGGAGGTACAGTGGTACCTTGGTTCACAACCTTGATTCTTTCCATGATTCTGATGGCAAACCAAATTGGAAGAGAAGCATATTCAATTCAACGGTTATGTTCAGTGTTAATCTGAGGGGGACATTTGATTCGGTTCTCATTCAGTTTGGTTTGCGATCAGCATCGTGGGGAGAACTGAGTTTGTGAACTGAGGTACCACTGTAAATGATTTATTTTACCTTTATCTGCCAGGGAAGGCAATAGTACTCTGTGGAGAGGCAAAAGGAAACTTAAAAACAATTTTACAAAGAAAAGTTAGGCCTTGATTTGGGGGCAGAGCCGTGCCACAAACCAGAAGAGAAAAGCAAAAATATTCATGGGTTGACACTAATTTCAATATAAAGAAAAGAAGAAAGAAGGAAGAAATGAATCCTAACTTTACCATTCGCAGCCAAGATGGTAAAAAGCCTTTGTACAGACTCATGAACCCTTCACCCTGAACAGCCTGGACCAAGCAGTCGGTGGAGGATTTGTACAAGAGCCCCCTGTGGAGGAGATCAGAGAGCTTGGTTAAGTTGTTTCCACACAAGCACATGTGCAGGTCACATAAAATAGTCTAAGGAAATGTCTTATAATAGGTATAGATACAGATGTAGGTAGCTTCACTTAAACTTAAAGGTAACTCTCATGGCTGACTCTTCCCATCTCACTCCAGCCCTGGTCTTATACGTATCCATGCCGCCTGACTTTCCAGAGAGAGCGTACTATTTTATGTCAAATCAAATTCTCGATATTACCTGAGAGTCCTAAGTTTCTGAAGAAAGTGCTCTGTGAGTTTTCAGCAGAGTATGCTTTCACAAACTCTTTGAAAACAATAAAATCACAATGAATACCTGTGTCTAAACAACACGATTGTCACTTAGCTTATTTCCCCAAATACATAGTACTTTTTCATCAGAGAACAGGTAATTACATAAATACACTTTCCTCATTAAACACAAAAACACGCAGATACCTTTCTGTCAAGAATAAACACATCTTTAAAATATCTTTAAAGTACAATATTACTGACATTCAACCACACAAATACAGATGATTTTCTAATTACCTTCCTTGTTTATCTCGTGGTTGATTCATTATTCGGCTTTTGATGACATCAGCTGGGGTTCCCAAAATAGAAGCTACCAGTCCAGAACATAAACTGTAGTACAAATAAATGAAATGGAAAGATAACACACAATAGCTTCTACATTTTAAGAGTGTGGAGCTGATATTGAAAATGGATGGAATACTAAATATGTTACTATATTAGTCTTCATAATTATGTTCCTTCAGCTTAAAATTGATGCAGAATACAGTGGAGAGGCAGAAAAAAAAATACAAAAAACAATGGCAGCCAAGAAACACATCCCGCACACCTGCCAGTCTCGGCCCGCTGGTAGGCAGTGGGCAAGACAGGAAAGATGCTGCCTGAAGCTCATGCTCTGCATGGGAAGCGGCTGAGGAGAAATCAGTGATGCCACACGCAGACAAATGCCATGGAAAAGAACAAGGAAAGCGCGACTGAGCCACCGGGTGATGACAGGCAGGCAGGGTAGGGCTCCCGCATGGAAGCAGAAGGCCATGCCTAGAGGAATTCTGCAGGAGGAGGGTGCCAGCCGATGGAAGAACAGGCGCCAGAGCCCGAGTCAGGGAGGCCCTTGGTATGGCTGAAGATCACTGACTGCACACTGTTAGCACACCTCAAGGTTATCCAGCAGGGCAGAGGGAGCTAGGATTTGGAACCAACCTCACAAGCTGAATGAAATGACTAAGTTAAAGATAGTAGATATGGAAAAGGATCACGTTCTAATGGAGAGTGTGACACTGTGTTGTAAAGAGAATGAGATTGTGTCCCATCCCAAAACACTTTCCTTGCTGGCCTTGTCTGGGAAGAATGCATCCCTTCAGACCCTACTCCAATCTAATTCCCCTTCCTTCCTGGGCCCTTCCTGTGTGTACTCTGTCCTTCTTGTACCTCCAGGGACCAGACCCTGTCAGCATTTACCTCATCTTGCTCCCCCTGATGGAAGCTCGGGGAAGGGCTCCACCGCCCTGCAGCACAGCGCCTGTGGTGTAACAGGTTCATCTGCTGAACTGGGCCGAAGGTGGTCACCGGAGCCTGCCCTGAGATGGCGCCACTAAAGTGCAAATTCTCTGGGAGGTTTTATCTGCAATTTCATCTAATCTTGTTGGTCTTTTCCCCTTTAAGAAAATTACTCTTTATAAATGTGCTACTTTCTTTCTCTAAGGAGACTAAAAGTTAGAATTTACTCTCAAAATGGAAGAAAAGATACAGGCGAGAAAAACAGATTAAAACAATCACTTACCTGGACAAACCATGAGTCATGATATTGTCCTCAAGGGGTGTATTCAAAACCAAGTAGTGTTTTACCGTGTCATAAGTGGTTAAGTCTGGCAATGGAAAAAGAAGGTTTAAATGTTCGTGTGTCCAAGAAAGACTGAATGTCTTCTGTGTTGAGAACATGCCTGGCTTAGGGCAGCTATGTGCCCCAGAATGAAAGGTGGAGGAAGGCAGAGCTACAGCTGGAGGTTTCAGAGGTAGAAACAGGCACTCCGTTGTATTGCTGGAACTCTCACATCCAGCTAGGCCCAAAAGCAACTCAACCCTGCCTTCTCAGTATGTGAACTGAGAAATTCCTTTGTGAGCCAAAGGCTGAGTTGAGGCCCTGTATTATAAACAACTGTCACAACCACTGTTCCCCATCAAGCTTCTTATACTTTTTCTATTGAAAACAAAGCATCATTAAAGGGTTCATATAGGAGGGTGACTTCACAATGCTGATGTTTTATAAAGATCACCCACACCACACATAGGGAAGTAATCTAATGAAGGCAAGAATGGGCAGGGACGTTTTCTTGTTCACCAAGTATCTCAGTGCCCACCATGTGCCTGGGGCTGTTCTGGTAACTAGAGGAAGAGCCAGGGATAAGACAAACTCAAATCCCTGTTCTGTGTGGAGGGAAGAGACAGATATCCACACTCTTCACACAAGGACTGATAACTCTCGAGGTACCCAGGACTTCTTGGACTCCAGCCATGTTCCCATTACCTCCCATGTTCACCAGCGCCGCTCTCTGTATATTGGGTACCCAGCCGGCCCACAGTCCACGTATTCCTCCTTCTGCCAAGATTTTTGCAAATGCGTGATGCACACCCCGAAATCTAAGGAAAATAATAATGAAATGTGAAAATGATGTATTCTTGCACAAAGAATGTATTTGGAGTAAAGTAATATTTATTCAAAACTGCTAGAAATTTTAAGAATATGCACAAGTCTAATTTCTACATAAACTTAATCCTTTATCACAAAGGCCAACACTCAATTTAAACATTTTTAACAGAAATCACTATAAAGTATGTTACCTTCTTTTTCTCAGATTGTTTCAAGGATTAAAAATACTGTTCTTGATAGCTTATCAGTGGACATACTAACTACAGGAGGAAAAAGTATGCGTTACGTTTCAGAGTTTATTTCACTGGTGACGAAAAAGACCTGCAAGTTTTAAAATTTTGCCACATGGTATTAAAAATAATCACTGACTCTCTGCTGGGGTGCAGCTCAGTATACGGTGCTTGCCTGGCATGCATGGGACCCTGGGTTTAAGCCCTAGCACTGAAAAAAAGCAAACACATAAACACACACACAAAATCATTGGCTCTCATATCATCTCATAAGATAAAATTTTTAGATCAAAAAGTAGAAAAGATCATCTAAGAATTCTCAGAGTAATTTTAGCTTTGTGAAAATTTACTGTCCTGTTTTCATTTTGATCACATTTCTGGAGACAGATGAAAACTGATGCTGAGCCATGAATAAAAACCTGGAAGCCTCTGTTGTAAAAGAAAATTCTGGGCTTTTATAGTCAGAAAAACTTGGAGTCAAATGCCATCTTTCCCACTTTAGCTGTGTGGTTTTTACACAGGAGTTACATGCTCTGAATCTTCCCCAAAAGACAATGGGTCAGTTATGACATGCAGAATTGTTATTAAACTACATGGAAAGTTATAATCACAAACTATGATTACAGCTAAAACTTACTGACCACTTACTAAGTGCCAGGCATTTATATTCAAAAGATGCATTTTAATCCTGAAAACTTGATGTAGTATATGCATTATTATACCAATTTACATTTGAGAAAACTGTGGCTAGAAAGGTCCAAGAACTTGACTGTTATTATAAAGATAAAATGTGGTAAAGGTTGGCTTTGAATAGTCAGGCTCTTCCCAAGGTTCATGTTCTTTGCTATAACATTAAATACAGACAAATCAAAATTTTCCAACATTAGAGACAAAGAAAACAACTGGAGAATCAACTAAAAATGTAGGTATTTCAGGATTCCAACAGACAGTTAGCCCTTCAACCCAGGCAAAATTGCACCATTTCCTCCCACTACTTAGTAATTACAGGTTGTTCCAGAATGAGAAAATGGGCCCTGGAGTTCTGTAATCTCCTGGCTTAGTCAGAGTTCTGTCTTTTCTCCTCTTGGATAATGTAATGGGATTTTTTTAAATCACAAAAGCATAATAAAAAAATCTTTCAACATCCTTAAGGAGGGCCTTGGGGTGTAGGAGCAATGGGGTCAGATAAGAAAGTAGGAAAGATTCACAGGACCGACCTTGTTACTTTCCTTCTTTCTGGGAGGAAGAGGAAAAAGCAAGGTTTCTGGAGCTAGGCATTTTCACTAAGTGTCATGAAAATGTTTTGAGAGGGCCCCTGTTCAAGATGAAAATATGGAGACTGGAAATGTGTAGTGAATTTCACAACACCAAACCGCAATGGCAGAGCTGGAGTTCAAACCAGGGTGAATTTTTTTTTTTTCGTTTGGTACTGGTGATCAATCTCAGGACCTTGCACTCATGAGGCAGGCACGGTGCCAGTGAGCTAAATCCCCAGCCTCCAGGGTAAATTTTAATGATCAGTTTCTGTGTATCAACCCACAGCAGGGGACAAGTCCATATCCTTGGCTGGGAGAAGCAGGGAAGTCATGAATACATGTGATTTGTCTGATAAAGAGCAGGTACATTGTGCAAAGAAAAGACACGGGTTAGCTGGCAGCATTAACACTATCACTGAATACAGAATCACAAAAATAATTCCAGCAGGTAACTGTTCAAACTATGATGGAGGCAAGGGAAAAAGACAGTATCGGTTAATCGAAAATCGTACCTCAGTGGTTTCCCTTCGAGTTTCCTTTTTCCTTCCATTTGCATCTGAACCTTCACTAGATCAGTTGGGTTGGCTAAAAATTGGCCAATAACGCCAGCCATCATCCCTCCAATGACTGATTTCCTAATTGCAAAAGGAGACATGCTTTCTTTTAAAAAGTTGCCAGTGACTTCAACATACTTTTCAGTAAACTAATACCAAGCAGGTACAAGCCCTGAGTAAGGAGTTAAGACAAAGTGAAGCAAAGGATAGACTCAAATACTCAAATCCATGGTTGGATTGTTTATGGCAGGGCCAGTGGACCACAAGGAACTAAAATAAAAATTCGAAGTTTCAAGTTGTACATGCCCTGAAATCCACAGGGAAGGAGCAGCTGCTTCAAAGACATAAAGAGCTAAATAGCTAATTTGACTCAAGCTTACTCCTGACTCTAAGGGAATAAAAACAGCATAGATTGAATCCACCTAACCAATAAAGGCTAGTAAACCAAATTGTAAAAACTACTGGTTTAAGTAGCCCCCAAACAAAGGGCGATTAAAATCATTTCTCTTTCTAAAGAAACTTTTCACTTCGAAACAGGTCCTTCCCTTCCCAGCTCAGCTCTCAGTGAGTAAGACTGGATTGGAAGATTACAATCACACAGAGGACATGGGGCTAAAGGATGATACAAGTCAAAATTTTAATAAGTAGTTTATGCTATCAGAAGGCTATCACAGCTTACATTTTCTTTTAGTTTGATAAAGATATTTCAGTTAATTCCCATGATTACTGATGAGGCTGAATATTTTGACATTTTTAATGAACATTTATATTTCTTTTGGGGGGGAACTACCAACATCCTTTCCTTATTTATTTATTTTTTGTGTTCGCTTGTTTTTATTGATTTGCTGGTTAGGAGTTCTATATGCATTATTTGCAGTAACTTATTTTTTATGTCTCTGTTATAAGCAATAGGAACTTATATTCATTATCTTTTCTCCAACAAAAATGCCTAACAGTAGGTCTGACTTCTACAGTTGGGAAACTGAAGGAAAAGCAGGCGAAGACCTTTCTCAAACTACACAGCAGCAGAGTGGGGATCAGAGCTCCTCTCCGCCTGACCCGAAGTCCAGAGCTCCTCCACAACAGGGAGAAGGAAGGTGCTCACTTCAAGTAACCAAAGTCACCGGGGTTCCGAACCAGCAATGACACTATGATGGGATGAGCCTCAGAGAGAGTCACAGATGAAGAGCTATATTATTACAGGGACAAGCTTGAGTTGGAGAGGAACTGGAGGGTGTGCACATGAGCCACACCCATGGATAGGACACTCAGCCAAGGGGGCGGTGAAAGTTAGGAGAGCAGGCACCTGTCAGTCAATACCCACCGGCTCTGTCTCAGCACTACTCTCCCCTCAGGGGACCTTGAGGACCAAGACTGGGTGCTTACTGTGAAGGGGCCAATGAGTCACACAGGATGGGTCTTATGCAGGAAGAAAAGGTGACAAGAGATGGAGAAGAGATACTGGATCTCCAAAGGGTCAAAGACAGGGGACTCAAAGGACTGCCAGAGGCAGCTACATATCACGGGAGACAGGGATTTGGCATTTCTGACACATTTTTCATTCTTACACTTGGATAATGAAGTATATTAATTTATTAATTTATGTGTTCAGATCCTTCTGTTGTTAGGCAGTTTTTCAGCCTCCTAAATTTATAATTCAAACTTCAGAAAATGAGAAAATTCTAATGTACTGCTGTTTGCTAAACCAAGGCTTATTTGGAGAAGACATGTACTCATAGAATGTAAATTCTCCTCAGATGCCTCCTTAGGCTCCAAATTTAATTTTAAAAAGCAAAAACAAAATCCCATCGGAAACTTGGCATCCTCTATAATCAAGAAGTGCCAAATCCATTCCCAGGTATTTTTCTTTAAGAAGTTTAAATCAGCTAAGAAAAATACCAAGAGGAAAAGTCAATGGCTTGAAACAAGTAAGAATTTTGCTTAAGCATAGAAACTTACAGATTTTACTCTTCACTTTTTACTTAACTAGACTGATACAAAATAGGAATAATGGTTTATTTCCTTAAGATAGGTTTAAAGGACTGGTTCATATACAAACTTCTAATAATATAAAAGCTACACCCAGAAAAAAAATACATTAATCAGGGGTTTCCTCTCTGGTGGAAAACATGTTATTTTGTTTATTCTTATATGCCTTCTTTCTAAGATTCTATTTTTCATTTAGAAATTTAGTTCTGAGAGCAATGATGTCCAAATAAAATTTAGATATACAGGTAAGACAAATGCATTAGACATAAAAAATTTTAAGGACTTTATCTGATACATAAAGCCTGGAGTTTCCAAAGTGTATCATTAAGATAGCATTTCTAGAATAGAGAATGTCTTTTCATTGTTATAATTACTAAAATGCACAATCCAAGCAGGCATGTCCAACCCACCTTCTTTTTGCCCTCCGTTTTAATGTTAAAATAAAAACATTTTAAGAAGAAAGTTTTGCTGTTTATATACACTATACTATGTATTTCATAGGTGTTCCAAGACAATTCCTTTTCACATAAAACAATGAGTGCAAAAGGAAACACAGGGCTTAGGTTGGACATGTGTGAGATTTAATATATTATATTTCTGTTCAAACAAAGCTAGTAATAATAAAAATTACTGATATTTGAATTACTGATATGGTGCTCTATCACAATTCTTTTAACATTCAAATATAAATAATATCCCTATTTATGCACAAGGTATATATTTATATACTTTATGTCTATACACCCTGGGCAGTAAATGCTCAATTATTTAAATTTAGATTAAAATGACTTATAGTTTTAACTTATAACTTAATGCAATTTTAATACAAACATACAATTCTACATAAATCTCACAGATAAGCATGAATGCCTTTATAGTGTACAGTATTATTTTCAAAACAAAACTTACCAAAGGGGATAATATTCATCTTCATTTTTGCCCAAGACAACCTCTCGGAGATGTTCATAAGTGACCATCCGACCTCCAGAGTACACTGTAAAACAGGTCATTAGAAAAGGCAAATTCAGCTCTGTGCTTAATAAACAATAGGATAATCTGACCCAGCCCTGTCCCTCTGTAGCTGTGATATATGCTCCTGACACAGGGGCTTCTTGGAATTTCTCCAGCTGTAGGCCTCAGGCCGTTCTGCTCCCTGTCTGATCTCTCTAGAATAGATTCTCCCTTCTCTGCTTTGTTAACTCTACTGTATCTTTCAGGACTCGAATAAAAAAATATGCTTTTCAGAAAGTGCTCTGCGGCCTTTCCCCAGATATTCTAGGCCAGTATGATATACTCTAACTGCTATGGCTTGTGTCTAGATGTCCCCCCAAATCCTCATGTAGTCACAGGTGGGGCTTTTTCAGAGGTGGCTAGAACTAGAGTGGGTATTGCTGGAAATGAATGATTCATGGTGCAAAGCTGGGCTCAAAAGCACTTGGATTAAGGGTGTGACTGCTACCCACCCTAAGTAGTCTGGATAAGATAAAAGGGGCAGAAAGATACTCTTAAGGTCCTTTGTTCCTTTGCTGCCCTCTGCCCACCATGAACTGTTCTCTGCCAAGCCACCCTGCCTTGGAGCCAGTTGATTATGGACTGAAACCTCTACAAACTGTCAACTAAATAAACCTGTCCTCCCTTAACTTGTGGATGTTGAGAATTTTGTCTCAGCAATGAGAGAAAAGTAACTAAGATGCTAACATAGCAATGATCAAATTGATTAGCAATCACGTTCTTCTTGCTCCATCAGGCATGAGATTCTACAAGCTGATTCTGGGTGTCTGTATTATGCCAAAGGCACTGGCTCATAGCTTGGTATACAACAGGGGTTTCACTGAATAAACATACATAATCTCTTTGGAGAATTTACTACATTAATGTAATTTATTTCAGTCAAGTTTTGAATATGTGAAATGAAAAATGTAAGATGATATATAAAGGTCAGCAAAAGTACAAATGAAAAGAAGTGAAACTCAGAACAATAATGGGAGACAAATATTTTAACAGATGGAACATCAACTTATAAAAATCATCACATGGTATTCACTCAGAGAGCATCTCAATATTTCAAGAAATTTCATTTTGTATTTTAAGATAATAAAAAATATCAAACCAAAGCAGTACTCTCTGCATAATTCTGGCTAGTTCTTGATGAATACAATACACTCTAACTTTCTCATATGAAGAACTGATCTTTAAAAACATTAAGCCAATAAATATTAGAACTTGGCACTTTTCTGACCAAATGTCCCCACACACCTAAAGAAACCAGAAGGTGGAGGAGGAACTGCTACACCTGTTTGACCTCTTTTAGAAGCTAAATTTGTTGTTCCTGCCCCCAAGCTGAGATGTTAGCCATTTTCAGTCCTCTGAGTGCCACTTGGGGTGCAGAGCAGGGAATACTTACACTGACATAGCTGCTACCGTTCTGCAACAGCTACTATTAATGGCATTAATAGTATTAGTTAGGCACAAATCACCTGTGTTGCACTTAAGCTTATGGCTGGAGTTGGCTTAGACAGGAGTCCCTGTGCTCTTTCACACACCCTGGCTGCTGATATACGGTGCAAAGATTCAAGAGACCCAGCGCTGTAATAAACAGATGATTCTCAAAGAACATAAAAACATTAAATTCTGGGTCTAAAGTTTATGAAGTAGAAGAAAATGGTGTCTATTATCAAACTGTTACTATGAAGAATTTGAAACGTACAGGGAAGTCGAGAAAATAATATCACAACTCCCTTTGTATCTACCATTAAGATTTAATAATTGATAACACTGCTACACCATGTGCTTCCTTTTTTCCTTGCTCAATTATTTTATAGTACTTTACAGACATCATAACAATTTTTCAGTATGCATTTATAAAAACCGAGGGGAGTAACTCCTTAACAATAATTGGTAGTTCATTTTTTTCCTTCCAAAAAAATCACACGTTCTTTCGTCATACTGGCAGGGGGGAAAAAGGCACTGGCTATTTTTTGGATACAGCCAAAAAGCAGAGGAGATGAACACAGAACTCATAACAAACTTACCAGCTAGAATCAAGATAAATACCTACGTGTCTGTAAATGGCGGGTGTCACTCCTTGCCAGAGCTTTAGAAAGCCTTCCTCCTGGATGATTCCTAGGGCTGTGCGCACCATGCCCCTATAGGGAGCAGATTCTCTTGCACTGTCTCCCAACCGAGCAAGAGCGGCTTCTCCTTGCATTTGGAGTCGAGTTTTTGTGAGATCGAGGGGAAAGGTTGCTAACAAGAAAGAACAAATGAGGGGGGAAAAAACCCACAACATTCAGAGAAACAAACAAAATTCTAAAAGCAAAGGATTAATGGTTTCCTAAGGCTGATGAGAGCTTAGAATCATTTGATTCCCATGTACTTACAAATGTAAGAATCACTGCACCAGAATCTCACTGCATTCGAGATTACCAGTAAAAAAAAAAAAAAAAGTGACAACACTTGCATTTTTTTATACAGAAAGTTCAGACTACATTCTACTCTAAAACTTGGCTTTCCAATGAGAATTAATTTAAAATATCTATTTTCTGTGGTGTACCCCCGACTGCACCATGATGTTTAAGATCCAATTTTAGAGCCTGGTGTGATGGCGCACGCCTGTAATCCCAGCACTGGGGAGGCTGAAACAGAAGGATCACTGTGAGTTTGCAGTCAGCCTGGGCTACACAGTGAGTTCCAGGTCAGTCTCAATTACATAGTGAGACCCTGTCTCAGAAAACAAAAAAAACAAAATGAAAAAAAGAGCCAACTTTAGAAACTGTGCTATACATGCTTGTGTACTACAATAAACACAAAATGAGGCTGAATTCCATAATTTTATGGGTGACTTCCACATGCCAATGAATCACAGTCCTTAAGTACAGAAGATGCACCAGACATTATAACATTTTCTTTTATATACAAGGATATTCTTTCAGTTAAGGTATATATTGAATTGTTTTTCCAGTCCTGAGAAGTTTAGTATATGACCTTCTAAAAGTACTTGTAAAAAAAAGTTTATTTATATTCTGACTTAGAGATAGATCTTTTGTCAGTTAAGCTACCTGACCCACATAAGGAATCCCAAGCTCTTAACTGAATATATACAATGTCCTGAATAACTGAAATGATGATATCCAGACAAGTTCATGAACATTACTGACATTATGGAATACCTTTCAAGGAGCATTCCTTTTCTAAGAGAAAACAGAACAAAGAGAAGGGCAAAAAAAAAAATCAAATCTAACTACTTGCTTTGGAAAGTTAATATCTTGCCAAGTGTTTCCTAAAACAGAAGTATGTGGAGACTTTAAACAATTTTTTATTGCTTATGAACCCCCCCAAAAAAAACCCTGAAGAAATAGAAACCCCTATTTAAGCACAAATGATACCTTATAAGCTAATTTTTTTGGCCTTCTTTCTGTTTATTTAGTATTTCAAGTTCTGATCCTGGATCACTTTGTACTCAAAACAGGGAATGTTTTGATTCCCTTGTCTCTTACTCACATTCCCCACAATTCTCTGCACCAATTTTTAACCAGAGGAGTGTTTTTGTATAAAAGACACTGAGTCAGAGGGAGAAACATCAGTTTAAAAAAATCCTGGAAATACATCTATTACTCAGCCATCTGATTTTAGATTTCTTTAAAGGCTGATGAACTTTGTTTCAGTAAGAACAATAAAAAGTAAAAATTTTCCATCAGCTTTCAGAGTAGATAGAAAAACCAAGAAGTCAAAGGGCAAGAGTGGAAGACAACAACAGAATATGTGCCTTCTGTGGTAGAAATAGAAAATAAAATCATATTAGAACAGGACTGACATGTATTTACAAATGACTAATTTATCAGCGATATACCTTATTCCTTTTCTTTTTGATGAGCAAGGAAATGCACAAGTAATCTTGAAATGCACAGTTAAAGCACTCTACTCACAAATTCCTAGGAAGAAACATCACCCGTTCATGCAAAGCACCATAATTCCACTCTATGTGGTCTCTGAAAGTTTTCTCTGACTCACTTAGGCAGATATGACTGTTCTAAGCTCTTATGAGGCCTGAAAATAGCTTCATCATAATAAGTAGCACATTGTAATTATCTTTCTCTGCATGTCTCCCCAGCAGCCTGTAAGAAGGTCAGATCATGATCCTTTCAACCATACTGCCTCAGCCAAAGCCCTGTAGTCACTATAATCATGTCGCATTCAATAGATGCCCTGTCTTAGATTTAGCATTTATATATTCTTAACTTCTTAGTATCTTTTTTTTTTTGAGCAGGGTCTCTCTGTGCAGTTCAGGCTGGCCTAGCTCAGGCTGGCCCCAGGCCATCCTCCTGCTTCAGCCTCCCAAGTACTGGAATTACAGACACACGCCACCACACCTGGCTCAGTATCCTTCCTTAAGGCAAACAGGGTATGGGTGAGTTCAATTCAAAGAGGTTAGGTAACTGGCAGATGTTAAGGAACTGTTCAATTATGAATGGTTAATCATTGAAGCCCCCCTAAGGTGGGTTCACTTCTTGGATCCAAAAGGCACAGAGATCCCACAACAGAGATGATCCCAGCAAGAATGAAGAGTGGATAATTTTAAAGGGTCACCCTGACTAAAGGGAAGATGAGTTCAGGAGAGGGTGTAGAAGTTCCCACCAGCCATGGGAGCACACCCAAGGCCCCTGCAGACTTGGAGGAAGGCAGGCCTTCAGGAACCTGGGCCCCTGCCTGCCTTACCCCGGCCTTCCCAATCTAGGGATGAGGCCCAAGTCACCCATCCTTGTCCATCTCTCCACCCCTTCACCCCACCATCCATCCCTCTCCATCCCTCCATCCTCCCCTCCAGCGATCCCCCGCTCCATCCTTCTCTATCCACCGCCCCCCTCCATCTCTCCCGCTACGCGGCGGCCGCCCCGAAGGAAGCCCGTACCTAGCTCGGCCACGGTGGCCGCGCAGCCTGACAGCAGGAACTTGCTCGCCCGAGGCCATCGCTGCGTGAGCGGCGATGGCGAGTCCTCGTCTTCTGGGACGGACATCCAGCGAGGTGGGGCAGCGGCGCGAGTCAGATGGCCAGCGGGCGCCGAGGGACATCGCTTCTAGCGGCAGCTGTCAGAGGAGCGGTCCAACGCTGTGCCCGGACCCCGAGGGCTTCTGGGAGATGGAGTCCTCAGCCTGTGCCCTAGGGACCCGGGACTCTGCGCGTGCGCACTTCTCTAGTCTGGCCCGGTCCTGTGCCCTCGGGAATCCGAAAAAGAAGCGGAAGTGGGCGGGAGCGAGGATACTACTGGCGCTCAGGTGTCTGGGGCGGGGTGAAGAGGCAGCGGGGCGGAGCAGTCGCTAGGGTACTGCACCCGGGCACCCTGCAGGGCCTGGAGGGTAGGACTGGACTGGACTGTCTCCGGTTCCCTGACCCAGGAGGATGTTCGGGGTCCTGGACCCGGGAGTCGCCGTGGTGGCCGCGCTCCTGACTGGCGTCGCTCTGCTCGTCGCCCTGAGGCGCCGAGGCCAGCGC